GCAGGAAGAGGCTCTGTAGGGGTTTCCTCTGCCAGAGGTGCAGATCCCTTCTCTGCAGAGGGCTGCTTTCTGTCAGGGGGACACCCTTTGCAGGTGGAGATACTGGTAATTTGTCACTGGCTTCTGGTTCCTCTCCTACCTCAGGAGGCTGAGGTTCCTCTGTCTCACTTCTGCTAGCGTCTACCTGTGCTGGAGCCTCCAGTGGAGGGGCTGGAAGTTTCTCTTCCACTGGTTTCGTCTCAGCTTGTCCTCGGATGTTTGGGCTTTAAGCAGTCCTGCTGCCAATTTAAGCTGGAGGTCATAAGTGTCTGGCTCCTCTGCCAAATGCCTTCTTATGGTCTAATTTTCTCTCTTTCCTACACACAAACACACTCTTGTTCTCTTCCTATAGTCTTTGCTGTGGTGACAACAATGCTTCCTCTGCAGCAGCCTCCACTCCTCTGTGTTAAACAACTGGTCCATGCAGAGCCAGGTACTTCCAGGCCATTATTTATAGAGAGGAATGCCATGGATAGTTTTCTAATCAGATGTCTTATATTGCAATTGGCTATCTGAATTCTAGACATTCCCTCTTAGTGGAGGATGAGATGGTCGTTTAAAAAAAAAGTAATAGCAAAAAGGCCAATCCAAACCTGAGCCTTTGCCTTGTAGGGTACTGTCAAAGAAAATGCATCTTCATAAAAGCCTGGTTCCAGACTTGTAGATTGCTGCACATGTCTGGTGTGGTGGAAATAGCATTGCTGTATATTTATTGACACCTTCTGGGTGGAACATTTTCCTTGACACATATACAGTAAAAATTTACAGCTGGAATCTACAAAAGAGCATCATAAATAGGAAAGTTCCCTAGCAATGTAGAGCATGAATTAATGATCAATTGTGGACAAAAACATAAATTCCTCACAGACACAATCCTCAGTCTTCTTGGAGAGCAGACATACCAAAAACCTGACCCCCATTCTGTCATGAACACAAATTAACAAGGCTCTATGACCTTAGAAAAGCCCTAGACTGACCAGATCAGGCACAACCCCAGAGCCATCAGTAATCAGACAGGTCATCTTCATCATTGTCTACCACTAGTCTTCTAGTCTTTCCATCAGTCATGCATACAAATGCATAAAAAAATGAATAAATGAGTGCAGCATGTGGGATAGGACCCAGTAAAATTTGTTGGTAAACACTTACCGACTGGCACAAACGGCTGTGAGGCAGGGCTGTGACGAGACATGCCAATGCTGTTGACAGCATAGACTCGCATTTCATACGGCACTCCTTCAATCATCCGCTTAGCTTCATAAGTCGTTTCAGGGTAAGGGTCAAAGTTTAGCCTCATCCACCTGTAGCTCTGCTTCTTCTTTCTCTCCAGCACATAGCCTGAGAGTTAAAATGGAAGCAAAAATATGTAGTTATCTTCTCAGAACAATAAGGGGGGATGAAAAAGAATTTACCTAATAATTTAAACATATTAAGCATTTTAAAAAGTTTTACCAATAATTGGCTGTCCACCGTCAAACAGAGGGGGATCCCATTGGACCACACAGGAGTCTTCTCCCACGCTTAGGATTACTGGAGTCTGGGGAGGATCCGGAACATCTAGGGGATAAACACATGACTAAAAAAAGAGCTGTGTGTACAGTTCAATGTGATGCATTGGTTGGACAGATATGTTTACCGTTTATAAAATTAAAAAAATCTATGACATAAAATATCAGTGTTTCAAGATTATATAAAGTTCCGTACTTTAAAGGCTGCTTTATATTTGTGACTTGGACTATTCATTCAAATTCGTGGCGGTGCTCGGCCCTACCAACAACTTTCACATTGATATCCGCAGTGTCCTCCCCAGCAGGGTTTCGAACCACAACGGAGTAGATTCCCTCATCCTGCCGCTCAGCCCCCTCGACTGTGAAGACACAGTGGCCTGTGGTGGTTTCGACACGGACCCTACTGTCTCCCTCTGTGACTACCTACACAGTACAGTGAGAACCAGAGCAGAGTTACTGTTACTGTCTGTCAGAGTCGTGTCTACATACTGAGTTCACATAGTTTGGAAAAACAACAATAAAACAATAGCATAGTACTGTGCAAAGGTTTTAGTTACTTTAGATATTTATCCATCACACATTCACCATCAGGGAGGCATCTGCTCTGTCTAGTGATTCTATTGACAGTAACTCATCAGTAAAATGTAAGGGAAAAGCAAAATATCTACAATAGTTTGAAAAAAACTCAAGTTCATTTAATGTATCTAACAGTGAGAAACTGTGGACTTTCTCACACTAGAAAACAAAGGCCTTTTCATTTTTCTGTCTTTGGTAATACAGCACATCTGTTTGATTCTATCATCCCAAAATTTAAGATAACTAAGCACAACTTCAGAATACTACAGAACACTATTTGATTAAATAATTGTATTTGAGTAGGTAATCCAAGGATTATTTCCGTGTCAGCGTATAAAATACTTACTGCCCAGTTTCCTCTGAACTGTGTCTGTCTGAAGGAAGACTCAGAGCATGCTCTTACCTTACTGACATGGACAGGTACTGAGAAACACCACATGCAGTTCTTATCTTGCCATGAGTGCTGTGTAAAGCTGACACACAAAAGGAAAATACATGCAAACTGCCAAGTACTGAGCAAACTGCTTTCCATGTCTCTGTTTACTTTTGCAGCCTGCTCTCCAGGGCTGTAACTCATTGTAACACTGAACCTGTTTAGTTAAGTAGATGCATGATAATTTATTCCAAACTTTGATGGTTGCATGTATTATCTTTGCAAAACTCAAATGGTAACACAGTTGCAAGTTTATATGGAGTGAAATCTATGTATACGCTCCACTAGCTAAATGTGTGCATCATTACATTTGATGAATGTATTGTTTTCTTATTATCAAGGACAAAGAGGTGATAAACCTACTGTATTGTGAAGTGGCACACATGGGTAAAAGTTAAAAAACATGATGCAGTCAATATACTTAGATTTCATATGCACTATACTTCCCTAGCCTCCACAGCTCTGATAGGTTGTTAGCCTTGCTTTCTCTTCTCCACTGGATTTTAACAGAACTAGCCTACATTTGATCAGCAACAAAGTGGTTAAAGCCAGTGAGAACTCGACTCAAGCATCACCAAATTAAGCCGTTAGTTGCATTGCATTGATTTATCCTGGTGAAAATTTCTAAGTATCCAAGCCAAATGTATTAGCAGGGAGGACTTAAAATAATGTCAGTTTAATAGTTATGTTCATGCTCAAAAATTTACTCAGGTAGACCAAACTGTAGATTATACTACGTTGATTAAATATGCCAGAAAATTTCAGAAGCTGACGTTGCAGCATTACTAAGGCTTTATCTATTTGCGATATTGAATGACATGTTGCTTTCTACTCAAGCCTCAGTTTTCAGACCATAGGTACTGTTCCCAAGGCAGATGGCAAACAGACCATGGGTATGTAGCTGATGAATAACACCACTCCATTTGTCTGTTTTACCTTCTCTCCTTTCGTCCATATCACTGTGGGAGCAGGGTCCCCAGTGATTGGGACGTCCAAACGTAGTTTGTTGCCAGCCACCACCACGATTGTTGAATCGGAAGTGCGACCCATGCAGTCCAGGTGGATCTTAGGAGGATCTTAGAAAGTGGGAGAAATGGTTCCAGTCAACAAACCTTTACATTTCAAGTGGCGACTACAAACAAATAAATGTCAGGTACCTTGGCGTGGGACATAATCGATCTTCACCTCTAGGAGCAAAAAAGAGAGAAATTTAGCATGCAAGGGTATTACAGGTGTCTGAGTGGTATGAAATTACAACAATAAATATTACCCAAGAAACTGAGTTTGGCAGAAAGGTTGAAAGCATAGCCATCTGGCACAAAAGTGTAGTCCGCCTCATCTTCTGGTTTGACATCATCAATGGTCAGTTTGTGGATCCTAAAAAGGCCAAAGGTTTTTAAAAGATCATATATGCAACATTTAGCATGTGTGTAACATGTCCTTACCTGCCAATATGGGTGATATTTATTCTGGCATCTTGCTTGACTTCTACACCATTCTTATACCAGGTACCCGTCACGTTCTCATCAGACACCTCACATTTGAAAACCGCCTGATCCTTTGCCTTCACCGTGAGGTCTGCTATGCTCTGGTAGACCTCCAGCTGTTTCTCTACACAGTCAGATAAACACAGGCTCAAATGAAAACCATTGAACAATTGATGACTTCAGAGGGGAGACAACAGAATAAAAAATACACAAAGATGACATGAGGATAACATGATAAAATTGATTGATTGATTTTGATTTGATTGATTGATTGATTTATACTTTCAAGCATGTAAAGACAGTTGATATATCAACACACATAATTTTACACTTATCCAACAAATGCTAATCAATTTGCTTATACCTAGTACATGCTTGAATGGAGTAGGAAGAAGTCAGACTTATCCAGTCCTACCCCATGACATCATCTTACCATCATTG